TTTCTTTTCTTTTTTTGTCGGCAGGCTTTTGAAACAGTGAATGTCCCGACAATATTTCTGCGTGTCTGCATATTTACTCGTGCACTATTGCGCTTAGCAGGTGTGTATACACTGATAAAGGCTCGGAAACGCATTAAACGCGCTAAAAACAAGCAAATACACGCTTTCACGGGCTACTCGCGCGCTCCCAATGCAGACGCTTCTGAGATCTTCAGTAGCATGCGACTCCAGCGCCGCCGCTACTGTCACCCGCCGGAGAATCAGCCGAGATACGGCGCGGCTGCCTCTTTAGGAATCTTCGATTTGGCTTGCACTAGTTCAGAAAAGTGCAGGTGCAGAAAAAGCGGTGCCAAGCGGTGCAGTGAGCGTGCAGCGCCGGTCGAGCAAGTGCAGGTGCAGCCTCAACCACGCCTCGGCACTAGCCGACACTAGCGCGCGACGGCTACAGCCAAAACGAAGGCGTGAGTTGACGTGAGTGCAGGCCGGAGAACACCTTGTAGTGTAAGCCTAAAATAGCCGCCTCCGCCGCCTTGTCCGATCAATACACGGCCGTGATGGCACTTCTTGTGACTGCGATGGAATTGCTGGACTCGAGCAGCGACGACGATTCCGTCAGCGGTGCCGTTTGCAGTGACTGCGACGATGAGTACGACGATGCGTGCATCTTGGTCGCGTGCGCGTTGGTGCGCGACGATGCCAACCGTGTACCCGGGTACGAAAGCATTATCGGCAGGTACCATGAGTATGAATTCAAGCGCCTCTTCAGGCTGTCCAGGGAGACTTTTGATAGTTTCAGGGCCAAGTTCAAGACTTCAGCCTTCTACCCAAGGGCAGTGCAAGGCCGCCAACAAATCAGTGCCGAAAAAACATGCCTCATAGCGCTTGTGTACCTAGGCTCACAATATCTATGTACGCCATAGGCGACAAATTCGATGTTACCGAGTCGTCTGTTCATGTTTGTGTGACACGGGTCGTTCACTTCTTACACGCTATTAGCGATGAGATAATTTGCTGGCCTAGTAGCGCGGAAGTGACCCGCATAAAGAACGGCTTCCTCGCCAAAAGTAAAGGCAAGGGCCCAAGAAACACCATCGGCTGTATCGATGGATCACACATCGGGATACTCACTCCAAGCGAATCTACGCAGTCTTACTTCAACCGGAAAAAGTGGCCTTCGATAATCCTGCAAGGAATCTGCGACGACAGGAACAAGTTGCTGAACGTGTTTATTGGGTTTCCAGGTTCGGTTCACGACGCCCGTGTCCTGAGGGAGAGCCCCTTCTTTGCACGCGCAATTCAGGAATGTGAAGACAATTATATACTGGGTGACAGTGCATATCCACTGATGCCATGGCTCATGACCCCATTCAAGGACAATGGAAGTTCTTTTCCTACGTGGAAAAAGAGCTTCAATAAACGACACAGTCAACAACGAGTGCTTATTGAGAACACCTTCGGCCTGCTTAAACAGCGTTTTAGGAGGCTCTACCTTGTTGATGCAAAAAGTGTGCAACAGTGCTGCTATATAGTTATGGCTGCGTGTGTGCTACACAACATGTGCAACGATGAAAGGGACTTCCTTGAGGAACTTGCAACGCTTCCCCAAGAAGAAGATGTGGGCAATGATGAAAGTGAAGGAGATTTTGATTGCAGTCTGCCAGGCTACAGTCAGTCTCTGCGAGAGTTCATTGCAAAGGAACAGTGCTAGAAGTTCATCTTTGCTTCGCGATTTATTCAGTGTGCAAATGTTTTGCGAAGTGGGGTGCCGCGTCTAGAAGCAATGTTTTTTTTTAACAAATTAGATGGAGTAGACACTGCTAGTGTTATAAAAGTTTATTGCCCATATTATAACCCGTCCTTATTTGAGAGTACGTCGATCAACCGATCGAATCGCTGCATGCGCTCATCATGCCGCTTTGCCTTTGCCTCTTCCCATTTTTTTCTTTCCTCCAGTTGTTTCACTGCTGCCTCCTCTTGCTTAGCTCTCGAAGCTTGCATTTTTTCTAATGCCTCCAAGAGCGGCGTGACTTGGGACCTACTCTGGCGCTTCCTTTTTGGCGTTGTGCTGCTCCGAACTTTGGATGCTGTGTTGCACTCGACTGGGACTGCTGCATCTTGAGGTGCTTCAGTGATGCTGGTGCTGTTGAAAGTAATTGTACAGGTGCCATGTCATTTCCAGGCTACAGCACAAATTAAGTAATTTTTACTTACTCTGGACTTGCACTAGGCAGGATTGTTTTTCCAGGCTCCAAGAGCAGCCTTGGATTTACACTATGTTCTTTTTCCAAGACTTCTGCCAGCTCTCTGTAATAGACACTATGAGAATCACTGAAGATATGAAGACACAATCGTAACTTACTCTTCATATTCACAGTTCACACGGTGGTGACCTGAAGAATTGTTGTCTTTTTTTGACTTTTTATATGCTCTGTCCAGCGACTTCCATTTGTTTTCCACTTGTGTGGCAGTCACGTGCACAAGAACTCCGTATTGATGGCCTCAGCCAACTTCTTCCACAGAAGCCTTCTTGTGCTAAACAAAAAAGCAAAGCACAGTTAGTAGGAAAGAAGGAAGCGACGTAACGTGACCCAAGTCTTGCAGTAGCACATGAACCTTTCCTTAGTACTTCATATGTGTAGCTTTCAGGGATAATTGCTAGGGATGTTCGATTATTCGAAAATTTTGGATAATGAATCAAACAGCACTGTATTCGGTTCCTAAGTCGAATCGAATTGCACATATTCTAAGTAACAAATATTCTTTTAATAATCGGCACTGGCGGGAGAACCCCAAAACAACGAAACAGCTACAAGTCATTCTTTCAATCCCTAATGTGACCTGTACGCAGCCCAAGCTTTTGCAAGACTACCTACACTATATTGATTGTCGAATGAATGCGCTTCTGAAAGCTCCATTCTTGCTCAATTTTTACTGCACTTTAGCTGTATCGCATTTATCAGCTCCTGTCTTCGTCTTGTAATAACCAAAGGTGGGAACTACGAGTGCTTGCAGCTTCACGACTAGCAACAGATACAAGTTTTGCGTTTGCGTAAATTGTTCTTGCAGATGTAAATTTCAACGCCCATTGTTATCCGCTTTTAGTGCGCAGGCCATGTTGTGATGACGGGTTGATCTGCTCCGTTACATATTTAGTTGTATCTGCAATGTTTTTGAAGATCACTTGACTTAATCAAGAAGATCACTTGACTGTTTTTGAAGATCACTTGACTTAATGAAACATTACGAATGCCTTCGTTGTGTATATATGTGCGTGACTATACATACTGTTTGTGTGTATATGTAAACGTATATGTCACAGTCAGGCGCATAGCCAAAATTTTTTTTCAGTGGGGGGGGGGCAGTAAAATGTAAATTGCTGGCAGTAAAATGTAGGCAACAATAACCATCGCCATTGTGAACTTCATGCGCCCTTATCTTGTTGGTGCTTGCCTAGAGTGAAACGGAATAATAAAAAGCTGCAAATAATTTTGGACATAGGATGACATACCGAAGTGCCCTGGTTTTTCCCACCAAGTCCTTCATTTCCGAGTATTTGGCGATGAAGAACCTTGTTTTTCGGGCGCTCCAAAGCTCTTCCACATCTTCAGCCGACGCGGCTGCTGCTGGAAATGCGGCTAAAGCCCCATCGCTGTCAACGTCGCCGTCGCAGGCAGGAGAAGGCGTCGGCGGTTGTGCCGGAGGGGGGGTCATTTTCACGATTCCCTGCCATGAACCGCAACGTAACGCGCTTGCCGTCTGCAAGGGCGAAAACCAAGATTAAAAATACCGACATAGCATAAGCAATGCTACGAGGCTGTTTGCTGACCGACTACGACTCCTGGCCGCTAACCACGTTTTTTGGCAATGCATGCAGCCTGACTTACCTGATGCCTCATAGACGTAACCGTTGGCGTCCGTCATAAATGACCCGTCGGGATTGTGAAGTGCCTTAACTTCCTTTTGAACGCCCCTGAACAACTATTTGCAACGTCGTCTGCTCTGGCCTTGGGGGGACGCCCGCCATGCTGCACTACTCTGCACCTGCTTTGGAGTGCGTGCACGCCGGTACAGAACTCGTCAGGAACTAGGCTTACACCTAGACAAAACGAGGGAGCCAGTGCAGAGGGTGCGACAGAGGGCGCGCGCTGCTCCGGCAAAACGAGGACGAAGGTGCTGCACCCTTTGAACTGGTTCAGCCGGTGCAGCCAAAACGAAGAGACCATTTGACTTCATTGCTCCCGAGTCCCTTCTAGTACTCTGTGACTGTACCGCCGCCGATGAAATAACCGGCGTGCGCCGACAACGCCGCCGCCGCCGACTCTAAACGACCCCACTGAACACCTACCAGTTGACCCCCCACGCCGCCGCCGGTCGAAATCCCCTCGGCGCACACCTTTATCCGCGGGTGCTTTTCAGCACACCTCCCCATGCTAGACACCCTAGCATAGCCTCCTAGCCTCCTAGATTGCTTTTGGCTGCCGAATTATCGGTGGTCACTTGGAAAGCGGCCTTTATCAGAACTATGGTGATGACGCCACCTAAGTAGGAATGTTTTTAAACAAATTATTAGGTTTTTAAAACCTATATGCAACAAAAATAACGTAAAAAATTTAAAAAAAGCACAAAAGTAATATTAATAACTCTACGTATGTGACGCCGTTATTTAACGGGCAGCTTTTTTATTACAAGACATATCCTCTGAAGTTAGTAGCAAACGCTAAATTTGCCAATCTCAAAGGCCAAGTACAAAGACCCTTACTCCTACGTAGGCAGCGCTGCCATAGATAACCGGCATTTCGCGCTGATCCGGCAGGCAATAAAAATCTAGGAAGCTAAGACCTTAATCATGCAAAATGTCAAGTTGTTGAATCGTTTGCCACAAGTGGCGCTAAAAATTAACACTAATTAAAAATGAAAGAGAGAAAGCAGTTGCAGCTGTTTTCATTCTCACGCAGCAGGCATGTGAACAGAAAAAGCGTTGCCAAGTTAGAGGAACATGCTCAACCACAAGTGTTCAACGCCCTCTATCGCTACAGACCTGGCGAGTTTAAGCCTAAGCTCTTTCCGGCCTTCATTATGGAAACATAGAAGTGTGCATGAAATAGGAATATTAATATGCTGTTCTTGACGTTACTAATTTGAGGGCGACGATGATTATGTCGCTTTACATATCAAGCTGTCCTCCGTTCTCAAGGGTGAGTATTGTCGCGTACAGTGCTAGAAAATTACCAAGGCCCGGCATGCATCAATAGAATAAGATCCATCGGATTTCGTACTTTCCTGTTGGCTGCTAAGGTCTGCTTCCTTAAGTACAATAAGTCACGCATAATGTGTCGCATCGTGTTGTATTCTTGCCTGCTAAAGTGGTAACTTTCTGATAAATGCAGCACTAAAACAGGTGTCATTTCATTGTCACTATTTGTTTATACCGGCTAGCTACAATCAATGAATGACCTGCAAGCTCTGTGCACCACGCGGAACTCGCTTTGCACCTTTAATGCTGTGTATTTTCGTCAGGCGTATCTGATGATAAGTGTGTATGCCTATCGGCCGTGCGCAGTGAGTTAATGAATCTTAGCAGGGCCGAATGTTTTATCTTAGAAAACAGCGGTCCCACTATTGTGTATGTGCACTTATGAAACTACGGTGGATGGATGCTGTTTATTTGCAGGGGAAGCAGTGATACTTCGTACTACGCGAGTATTGTCGGTGCTTTATAAAATCAGAGGCGTTGTTGACAAATTGTTGCCTTACATTTGTATAAACGTTGATTAACCATGATGCATTTATGCACGAGTGTTTAGAGCGGTTGGTGCCGTGCAGGGATGCCATGTTGCCAGTGTTTACTGAAGAGCGTGATGAAAAATGGGCGGGAGCCTCTCGTGCTGTTCTGCGCCGAGCCCCAGGCCCCACCGTAAGAAGGACAGTGCCGACCCACCTCACTCCGAGGAGAGTGCCTCAAATCTGCAGCACATTAGTGAAAGGGAACCAGAAGGTAAGCAGACCTGCTACATATTGAATATGTAGCAGGTGTGGAATATGTATCGTTGATATCATGGGAAGACTGAAAGAACTGCAGCGAAAATTATAGGTGGGTATGACTGCTTCATTATGGACAAAGGTCTGAGTAATTGAAAAGTTGACAGTAACAGCTGAGGATAACTTGCTTCAGGTTGCTTAGAAGATTGTAGGTGCTAGTTTGAATGTTTTTTTATTGTGCTTGTGTGTGTGTGTGTGTGTGTGTGTGTGTGTGTGTGTGTGTGTGTGTGTGTGTGTGTGTGTGTGTGTGTGTGTCCACCAGTATCAGTTGCAAATTGTAGATGCACCGGTCTTTTTGGCGTTGAAGTGTTGTGTCAGAGGTGTTTGTGGGTCAGAGTGGTGCATGTATTTTTAGTTCATTGAGGCACTGTGTGGCAGCTGTGCATTAGAGTTATGATCACGATGTCACAGTGTTGGTGGTTTTAAGCTGGCATTCGTATGAGATCTTGGAATCGGGTTTGGCAGATGTAATAGTGCGAGGGGGTGGTTGGACCCCACCTGGGTAGGTGGTGTCCACGAGTGACATAGCAGGAAAATCGCATATTGAGGGGTCGAAATCTCTCTTGTAGGCATGCTGGAACTAGCCTGTTTGTTGCATACAAGGCATCATAGCTTTGGCATAGGTTCAAAGCTTGTTTTACTGCCTTTAAGGCATTTTGAGCGTTGAAGTTTGTGGTAAACTTGTCTGATAAAGTTTGAATGTTTAAGGTACTGTACCATGTTAGTTGCTCGTACTTTTAAGGAGAATATTTGAATCGATATTTAAATATATTACTGTAGCACTGCTTCACATGGCCCTTCAAATGTTATTTTATTGTAGCTTAGGGTGCTTGATGTCCACCTAAATTGTGTATAGCAGTTAGTTGTTAGCTGTGATTTTTTCCTTGCAAGTTTGTTTGGCATGCACACTGTGTACAAGTTCTCTCTCTCTCTTTTTTTTTCAGATTTCGATCAGGACCCCTCAACGCACCCGACAGCTGGCCCACTTTTTATGCAACGATCAAAAAGTGATGTCAGAAGTATGAATACCATCACTTTTTTTTTTTCTAAGAAATTGCTTTGGGTGTGCTTGTATTGTGAGTTGTCTAACCTTTTGTATAATTTTCTGTGCCTGTCTTTCTTTTTTTAGATCGCAAGGAGAAGAGGCGAAGTCAAATTGACGTATGTATACTAGGAAGAACATTATTGTTTATCTACTTCTAATTTGCTTGCTCAACATGTTTTTAACACCAATAAACTAATTACTACAGTGTCATTTCTTAGTGTCAGGTTGCTCTCTGCTGGGATTTCAGCAAAGAGGATGCTGGTTCACTATCTTTCTAAACTTTTTTTTTTTTTTTTTTTTGATGTAGTGCAGTTCTGCTAAGATATGCTTGTTGTAACGGTACATGTTGAAGTAAATGTAGTTTGTACAGTCTGTTGCACACTTAGGGTAATTCTCGTAACACGTGCCATCTCGATGCGGCCATGGTGTGGCCAGCACAACAGCTGCACGCCGGCAGTAGTTCGTACGCGTGCAGATGCTTGAGAGGTGCTATGTTCAATGGTTGAACCGACTCGTCGGATGCGGCGGCGCGCGCTTCTCGCGTTGTCGGGCAGCGGGGGAATTTCATCGTTACTGCCAGGAACTGGGCCGATACCGCTCATCGCGTCACTGAATGCCTCACTTCCATCCAAAATGAGCAGCGTTATTGCTGCCGCTGCGGATATTACGAGGTATTAGCTGAAGTTTGAAACTTCACGCATTCATTTCCGCGCCAGCGAATGAGTGCTGGCTCATGTAATGAAATGCCAACGAGAAGAAGCTGTGCTGCCTCATGTAATGAAATGCCAATGAGAAGAAGCACGTTCAAGTCTTTATCTTAGCCTATAGCATTCCCGATTTCTTTCTCGTTTGTTTCATTGTGTTGAACCCACATAGCTGCACGGCAGTCACTGTAGATTGCTTTGTTTTTCTTTAGAGTGAAATAAATACCACGCACAATATGTGCTCATTAAGGTATTCTTTGTCGCAGCGTACTGCAGGCCACACACATAGAAATATGCGTTAATGCACTCAAAACCACGACATTTTGAAAGAGCAAACAACTTATGCTGTCAAATACTGTTTCTCATAGGTTGGCATTGCTGATAAGTTGGCGTTGCACAACGTTAAGTACAGAATATCACTCTGGTTCCCACAGCAACGATGAAACAGCAGGCTGTCTGAAAATGTGGCCAGTGCGCACCGCTGTCATGGACGAGGCGGTTCATCACCACGCTCCTCAAGCGTTAGCACATGTGTGAGCTACTGCTGGCGCACGACTGCAGTGCTGGCCGCATTGTGACGCCATGCGCTCCGAGATTTTTCTTAAGTGTGAAACAGACTGTACACTGAGTTTCAAGTTAAAATGGGACTCCTCAAGCGTTAGCACATGCGTGAGCTACTGCTGGCGCACGACTGCAGTGCTGGACGCATCGTGACGCCTTGCGCTCCGAGATTTCCCTTAAGTGTGAAACAGACTGTACACTGAGTTTCAAGTTAAAATGGGACCAAAAGTTGCTGTTTTTAATAATAGCTTTTTGTTCATTGAACATTGCAAATTTCTAGGTAGCTCTTAATCTTAAATCATGAACTGTTTATGAAAATTTTTGTTGAAAGTTTTGAACTGTTAATAATGGTAAAATAGTGAAAGATTACCATTAATGCCTGCAGTTTACAGCTGACATTGAAGCTCCAAAGTAAGTTGCAGAGTATTGCTCGACAGTATGCGTTGCTCGTAGAAGTTTTATGGTCTTGGGGTATCTGACCCTAACTACCTCAGGAGAGCTTGCATAGAATTTAACTCTTACGATGATTGTCAAGTAGCTCTTGCATGTTTTATTGTACAATTATTAGGTAATGGCTCGTTAGGTGTCTATAGCACGTGTAAAGTGAGTTTTCTGGGACCATAGTCTAGCTTTAGGAGTTATGTTTTTGGGTTGTATACCTTTTTATATTGGTGATGTCGAAATCCAGCATTATTTTCGAAGAGGAAACTCTTAGTGAAAGTGGGAGCTGTGACGCTTGTCAACCCAAAGCTGAGGACTTTCCAGAAAACTCGAACGAGAGTTCGAACAGCAAACGCTCTCTTTTTTTGTACACATATATTTAAATGAGCAGAATCCCTCGTGAGAAAATACAGTGCCTTAGTTCTAGGTTTATATTTCATAAGTACTGCCGTTTTCATTCATGTACTGATTAATATAAACTTGCAGAGCTTTCACCACTTCAAGAATGAACCGAATTTGAAAGGCTAAAATTCCTTTTTCTAATAATTCATAATCACGTTAAAATAAGCTACGCTAAGTACTTCGAGATTAAAACACAGGAAACATCAAGACTCTGACACAGTATGTACATACCGCCTCTCATAGCTTATAACGATTGTTTCAGGTACAGTTTCTTTCCTAGAACAATTCAACAGTGGAATTTGTTGCCAGATCCTTTTGTGAAAACTAAATCCCATACTGAGTTTTTAGAAGGCATAAGCTCCATAGTGCTTTCTGATTTCATGCATTAAAAATTGAGATAACTTGTGTAAATTATGTCCCTTGTAATTAAACTATGGTTTTTATTATGTGTTTTGATAACTTGTATAATATATGTTTCAGCAGTGGTACTTGCTTTCCTTGTTTTACTGAGGAGCTTGCAATTATAATACCTTTATTATCTGAATATCGATTCTTGCCATGAAGGATATGTGTTATGTAACAAATGTTTTGTCGTATTTCTCTTATGCACATTTCTGTTTAAATATGATTTCTTTCCACTGCTATAATAGCCCCTACAAAAGGGCTGACAGTATCAATAAATGAAAAATGAAAAAAAAAAAAATGAATGAATAACACTTTGACTTGGGTGAGTTGGCACATACTCTGACGAATGCAGTGCAACTTAAAATGAAGATGAGGAAACATGAATAATTGGCCATTCTTGGCCTACTGGGTACCTTGTCAGGTACCTTGTTCTACCTGGCACTGGGATGAGGTACCTGGGACAAGGTGTGTAACTTGTCGTGCACATTATGAACACATTTGTGTTCTTTTCCAGACTTTTGAGGCTTTCCATTTTCGTCTGTTACCCTGTTTTATCACTTCCTGTCATATGTTTTTGCAGTTGGATGAAAAACAAACTAAACTAATCAGTTCTAATGACACCTTGACTTGGACGAGTTGGTACATACTCTGATGAATTCAGTGCAACCTAAATGAAGACGAGAAGACGTGAATAATTGGCTAAGGGTTTGGTTCCTTAATTGTGTAGGTGCCCTTTTGACATCACAGCTGCTATTTAGAATGCTAAGCAGTGTCAGCACTGTGTTGATTTGCTTCCTAGTTCATTAGTGCAGCTTTGACACCTATTCATCTTGTGGGAAACGTGATGGGTCGTTTATGTACTTAGGGAGCTACTAAAGATGCAATGGCTCTTTTTTAACAAAGTAGTGACATGATTTTGTCACATCCCAAAAGGCACTTTTTGTTTTCTTGGTATTCAGTGCTAACACCCTCCACACACCAGTGTATGCCAACGTGTATCAAATATATTTTCTTTGATCTTTAAGTTTTTGTCGCTGAGCATCAGCAAGCCAGCCCCACCGTGTTATCCTGATAAATCAATTCAGTTCTTTGAATTTGCAAACTCTGAGTCTTGCAAGCAGCCTGCATTTCGGAAATCCCTGCTGGGATTGATGCACTAATGGTTCACTTGTACCACGAGGGGATGGCAGATCTGCTGCTAATACTTTGCGAATTGCTCTCTCCCTGTGATATCACACTGCCATGGCACGTCATGGAGAACCCACCCTCTCGATATGGAAACGGAAAGTGACTTTCTAAAGTAGCAGTATTAAAATTATATGTGCTGCATTCCCAGGCATCACAGTACTCGTTTAGGGTTCTCAGAACCAATGTTCTTATTTATAACAACAATCTTAAATGATTTAAGATTTGTGTTAGTACTCCTATAACTGAAAGATAGCACAGCACTAAATATATCCTAAGGGCAATTTTTGCATTTATTACACAGCAAAAAAGCATACATTTATATTTATATTGCTTACACGATATATCTTGACCATTCGCTCATGCTGGGTTTGTAGCATTGATTAAATTTTGCAAAACCTGCATTTATTTTTCACGAAGAGACAAGCTAGTATGAAATATGGTTTGATCCTATTTCAGTAAAAGTTTTTAGAGTGCAGATATTTGGAGTTGTTGAGTTTTTTCCAAGAAACAGTCTATTTATTCCTTACAGCTTTTATCTCACTTTTTCGTGTATGGGAAGACATGTCCTTTTGCCCATTGTTTTTTTTTGCTTTGTCCATAAGGCACAAGCATTCTGAGTTTTCTGGCTTTGATATTTGCAGAAGCATTAAATTTAGTCTGTCTGATGTCATGTCTGTCTTAAATGTGGTCTGACTGCCGGCATTGTTGCAGGGCAACATTGGAAGCTCCTCTGTCAAGGCAGTGCGATCCATCATATGGTGGTTTTGGGACGTTAAACCCCACAAATCATTCAATCAAGGCAGTGCGATCCGTGGTGAATGCCTATTCACGAGATACCTTGTGGAAAACAATTGGCCGCTAAACGTTAGTGATAACACAGCACCGTTGTTTCGAAAAGTGTTCCTCAAGCTTGAGGGCAGGAAGTGGTACAGGTGTGGACGTACTAAGACACCATGATAAGACAGATGCTTGGGCTAGTTGGTGATTAAGAATCAATCACCAACTAACATCAGTTGAAGTCAGCGCTCTTTCAGTCCTTGTCTCTTCTTCTGAAGTTGCGTCGTAACTACTCGTAGTCTTGCGCTGTGCAAATATGTTGATTCTAAAACACCAGCTGTCATCGGAGAAATAGCTGCAGATGCCGAACATGCAATGGTGGACGCTCTGAAGCGCCGTGCTTTTGCAGTTATAGTAGACAGAAGTAACATCAGCGGGTCGCAAATGTCTCAGTCTAGGTAATTTTCTATATAGGGAACCGAAGCTAAAGTTTGTGAAGTGACGACAACGCCCCGCCTGGCTCTGGCGGTGAGCTCCGGAAAACTTGAGGATAGGCGCGGAAGAGGGTACAGGCGAGTCGGTGTGTTCCACCGAAACGGGATTACGTGCGACATGCGCGGAACGCGTTCTGCAGTCGG